TACTAGTATGAGAGTTTAGGCAGGCGCAGTTTGCCAATGCTTCACTGATCCCTCCCAATGCACCTCGGAAAAATAAGGAAATACGGGCAGAGGAAACTTAAAAGAACGTTGATGAACACCACGCACACCAGGCACCTGAGCCCATCATGCTAATTTTGTACCACATGGTACGCAGCAGGTGTTTTAGATGCGCTTGATAGAAAGAAAAGACATTGAGCTCCTGGTTTTTCTACGATCTATGACATGATAGCACAGATTACAGGCTGTGTATGCATAGCATGTCACCTGTGCATGACATAGCAGCACGCATGACAGGACACAAGCTTGAACCGTCGAATATTTCCAACATATTCAATGTTTGCTTGGTAGTGTCGCTTGAACAGCACCTGCTGGAATATGGAAGGTCGATACCTGTCTGCACATGAGCGGTAAGCTAACGGTGCCTGACATGTTTGACATGTCAATTCGCGATGTCAGGCTAGGCTGTGAATGGTGGTTGGTTTTTCACGAGATAGAACCTGGATGAAGACAGAAAATGCATTGTAATGTGCGGTACATTTGGGGGCAAAAGGCAATCAGGCTTAGGGTCCAAGGCTTTCATGCGCTAACCAGAATACGGCTGGGAAACTACTTACCGCGAAGATCAAAAGTCCAGGACATTACAAAAAAGTTACGAACATTCCATCCCAACAAGCTCTCACGTCCCAACACCCAATGCACGGTGCTAATACTACCTAAATGATGCTGCCTACCACGACGCTAATGCTACCGATGCTACCTTAAGGCTGTCCGAAACACAGGCGGTTCAGCCGAAATGTTTCGATGGCACATACCGAGCATAAGGACAGGAAACGTTACCAGCGGGGATCAGTCCGCTGACCAACTTTTTCTTCTTTCATGACTCGTCGCAACGAATACACAAACCATTTCGAAGCATAAATAACGTAAGCGACGCTGCCCAACCCAATTCCCAAGACGATTATTGTGTGTTTGGCATCGATGTAGGTTACGTATCAGCAAGCTGATTTCTTGAGATCCGCGTTGTGCCTCGCTGTTGCTAAAATATATACTTCAAAGCTAGTACTGATGTCAATCTGATGTCCATTTCGTTGTCAAGTTTTACCGTCAAACTTTTACAACAAAGTAGTTCTGATGTCAAGAACGCAACTTAAAGCTAAACCGAAACCGGTTAGATATCGGATGCTGTGGCGAGACAGGTCCATCTCATCGGCCCAGCACCTCAAACGAATTCTAGAAAGTTGGCATGGAATCGCGCGATCGGGTGGTATGGTCAGGGATCACACAACAAGCACTGTGTAGCGTAAGCTCTGATCCAAGAAATCCATCTTTTCAAAAGGCTGTGATTAAATCTTTAAAAAACAGTGTTACCCAATTCATTATGTTTGGTGAAAAGTGACACCTTTACGGACCACGTGGCTTCGCAGTTTTGATGTCTTTTCTGTAATTTCTGATTTCCTGCAATGAATAAGATTTGGATTCCAATGATTTTGGTCTTGTTCGGAGTTTTAAAACCGAAAATGTCTCGGTGTCCATGACACCTTTTGCCGAGACGAATTTGCCGCACTGCTGCAAAGTTAACGGAACTGCCTGTTGCCCGCCATATGGCCGGACGGCGTCGGAGGCGGCGTCTGCAGCTCTCTCCTGGGTCATGTCGCAGCGTCGGGCGGGACGGCGGCTGGGACTCGGAGACGGCCAAGGCTGTGATCGCCGTCTCCCTGGCCAACTCCAGCGCCCTCACCGGAGTCGAGCGCCAGCTCACGCTCAAGCAGCTCCAGATCCACTTCCTGGTGGACATGTGGGGGTAAAGAGCGCCCACTACGGTCGCGGAGTGGTGTGGGACGACCCCGTCTTCGGGGTGTGGGAACCGACGGCACGTCTCTCTGACCGTAAGCCGAGGTCAGGCTCCCATGACCTAGTCTGGAGGCCTGACCTCAGCGTCGTGAGGTACCACGCGATGGACAGGTCAAATGCCCGTTGAAATGATGTACTTACATCACCTGTGTTCGTAGTATTTTGTCATGAATTAGGAGGTAGTGATATTTTACTGCAAAACAGCTGAAATGCAAAGTGGACGGGGTTGCCACTGACAGCTATCAGGTTGGGGGCGTTGTGAAGCGTACCCGAAGGTTTTTCAAATTCAAATTGCTGGCGGTGGAGGGCGGCCAAGGTCATGAACAAGTTCATGGCTATGCTGCTAGTTACTTGCTTATGCATCGAACTGTGCGAGAAAAGGTCACGCTTCTCACAGACGGGGACAAAAGTCGCGTCTACAAACCGTTCAAAGCATCGCACAACATCGTCTTGTTCAACTACTGACGAACACCTCAAGCCTTCTGGAAGCCTGGCATGTTCCAATATATAATATAGTATATATATATATATATTACTATAGGTATATATATATACCAACAGCCCACGGGTCCCGGGTCGTGTTATGTAGAACTCCTGTCGGGGAGCGCGTGGGGGTGCGAGTTCGGTCCGTAGATAGAGAGAGAGAGAGAGAGAGAGAGGAGGAGAGAGAGAGAGAGAGAGGGAGAGGGAGAGGGAGATGGAGGGGAGAGGAGATGGAGAGGGAGAGGGAGAGGGAGAGGAGAGAGATAGAGAGACGAGAGAGAGAGATAGAGAGAGAGAGAGAGAGAGAGAGAGAGAGAGAGGAGAGAGAGAAGAGAGAGAGAGATAGAGAGAGAGATATGTATATATATATATATATAAATATATATATATATCTATATATTATATATGTGTGGCCACGTGCCCATGGGTAGTTGATCAAGGATTACACACCCCTTGGCGCATAATAATTTTGATCATTTTCCCTGCTTACCCGACGTGCGTCACCGCGCCTCGATGGGAGTCTGTTGCAAGGAACACGGCTGTTGACATGCACCGGTGACATCCGACACCGCGAACATGAAGCTCACCGTGACGGATCGCAGACCATCCGTAGAGTACTGAGGGCCTCGGAGGCCCGCCTCGTGTAAGCCCACGGACGGAACTCGCACCCCACGCGCTCCCGACAGGGGTCCTTACATAACCCGACCGACCCGACCTGGCTGTCAGCATCCATGCACATCGCCCCCGTGTGCCAGTAGATGAACAGCTGCCGTCCAAGTCGCTCTCGGATCCGACCAGCAAACGAGTTCAGCGTGCCCTACCCAGTCAATCGGGAGTCACTGGCCATTGCCGTCCCAGTCCCACGGCCCCACAGAAGCCGTGTAGATCGCCTGTCTGTTTAGCTCATTGTGAGCGTCACTACCACGTGTTGTTAGCTGCGCTGATGTGAAGCTCCCACTGTCATGTTATAAATAAATACGTAATTAATCAATGTTCTGGGCTAACATGTCGGCTTGTCCCCCAAAAAGAGCCTCGTTTTCCAAAACCCTGTTTGCTCCCACGTTCGGATTTGATGAAGTTTTGAATTGTCTAGCAATGGCAAGGTGTAGAACTGCTTGCTGGCTTCCACAATCTCATGTGATTTATTCATCCTTGCTACTCGAGTAGCGTCGAAAAAACTGGGCACCACTCCGCTCAGTCTAAGGCATCCAGTGTGCGTTCAGGACGGTTTTTTAGAGAGCGGGGTGCTGGGTCGGCCGTGATGCGGATGATTTCCTTCTGCCCCAGACCCGAGACCGTCTGATTTTTATCTTGAAACACTTCAAGCAAATCTGTGGCGAAGAACGCAAACAGCGTTCTCTAAAGGGGACAATATTCAACTGGAAAGCAAACATAACTTGCCAGGAGCATGCCGGCACGCACTTGTAACGTGTCATAACCCGTAACTCGCACATGCTCTGCACATGCGCGTATCGTAAAAGGCTGTCAACATTCACAGCACAGACCCCGATTGCAGCCCGCCCGATGCCTCTCCGTGTATAGGGGTAGGCAACGCGGGTGGCCGGCAGCGACGGTGATCGACGACCCAGTCGTTGCCCCATCACTGGTTCGCTTATCTTCGCCCCGGGGACGAACAGTA